CTGGCAGCCAACTGGGCTAATCAACCTGTAGGTGCCGTTGCATGCCCATCATCATGTATTTCCTGAAACTGGTTATTCATCCACAGAGCCAGGCTGGGAGAAGGGCAGCCAAGCAGGACCCTCTGGGCTGAAGCCTCCTCATTCTTGGGCTCAATCCTATGCTTGTTGCAGTTGCACATTGCCCCCAGGCCACATCAAACTGTTGCTTGGAGTTTGTATCAGCACACAGCATCTCGTGCAAGCCTCTGGGTTGGCACCTTATCAAGAAGAAAGTGGCGTGTGAACAACTCACACTCCTGCTGATGCTGCTTGGCTGGAGATGCTGCTCCATTGGCCTTGGATCAGGGAGCAGCAGAGATCCAACATCTTCCAAGGAGCCAAAAGACCAAGCTCTCCGTGCCAGACTGACTCCGGAAAGCAGGAGCTCAGAGCCCTTGCCAGCCTGAACATCTACCAACAGCTTCAGCCCCATGTAGCACAGCAGCACTGACCAAACTCCTACCATGCAACATCTCCCCACCACCACACAACCACCTGCTGCCAACAGCCAATGTGCCTACAGGCAGTTCAGTGCCTGGAGACCAAGGGTGTTGGATCCAAGGGCATCAGTGTCTGATTTTGAGCTTGCTGCCTCTAAAGCTAAACTCTCACATCTGCAAAGCACCTCAAGTGAGCAATGCCAGGGCCATGGCTGTGACAGCTTTTCTGCTCTACAGTGAATGCTTCTGACAGGGCAACCAGCTTCAGGTCCCTTCATCTGTAAAAGTAATGAGCTGGAATGAAGCACAGCAGGCATCATCACAGCCACCTTTGTGGCAACAAGATGGCAACATCTGCAACTGGTTTTAAACATTTTTTGGGATGCTTAATGAACAAATGGGACTTTTAGAGGCCATTTATCCTTTAACAGAAAAAAATGGTCTATAGGGTTGGAACCAAAAGCTCTTGGGGTCACAGGAATGACCAGTCTAAGTTACTGTTGGCTTAAACTTCCCTTGTGCACACCAAAAACCATCTCTGCAGAGAAGTAATTTCTCCCAAGCTTCTCCTGCCTCTGCCTACCAGCTCCTGCACCACAGAGTGCTGATCCTGGGCAAAAGTTTTTTCCATGCACCAGCATCTGCTCCTGGATCCGAGGCTTCTTGAGAAAATAAGGTTAAAGCCTGAACATGTCAACACAGCCAGACAGAGCACAGCCTCTGGTACCAGCGTGTTCTCTGACCTCATTCACAGGAAGGGCTGATCCATTTCTGAAAATACTTTTCTAGAAAGATACCAGCCTTGGGCAGACACTTGGCCTGGAAATTTTCCATTTGACTTCTTCAGGTTTAGGGATATTTTCAGCAGTAAGTGGGGATATAAGCCATGCACCTGCTCCCCCTTGCCTTCGACTGGAACAGTGCACAGCCCCAGCACGAGGACTCCCAGCAGTGGAAATGGCCCCTTCTAATGCCCCTCTTTCCTGC